TCGCGCTCTTCTCTCTTCCACACATGTACTAATCTGCAAGTCTTAGAGCAGCATTGTCGAAAAATTCTTTCAAGCTTTGTCAATTTGATATTTCAGTGAAAAAGATATCGATGAAGTTCTACAAACCCATACAGTTTTTGCAAATGTGTCGAAAGGACAAGTAGCAAAAAAGGATGAGTTGACTGCAGCATTTGGAACCGATAATCAACTGGAAATCTGTAAAATTGTAAAGCTCGCTTTTTTTGAAATTTCAATCATCAAGTTCTGTTAGCTGCGAAAAGTGCTCTCTAGATCCTCGAAAAAGGCGATTTGCAAGTATCTGATAAAGAACGGCAAGCCGCCTCGGACCAGTCGTTGAAGGAGGTATTTCAATTACTTGCTCATTTTGAAGTATTAACTTGGAGAATGTTAATCAAAGGTATCACAACTGATTGCTTCGATGGTGGTAAATCCAGAAACGAAACGTCCCATACCGCCATCAGTAATCGACAAAGCTCTGCACGAAATGCATTTTTCGCTAAAGCCGAATAGGAGTGCGAAGCAGCAGGTAAGCCTTGACCGAAACTGACTATACGTCGCTAGCACTGCACATTACCCATCATGCCTCAAAGTTGCAGGGACATTCCCATTATAGTTAAACAAAGGAATTTTTTTCCATTGTAGGAATATCGAATATTCGTTCGTAATAAAATGTTCGAACGAATGAAAATTATTTAGATGTCATTTGAATTTCGAATTCAACCGAATACGGGTATTCTGTATATTCGACTGACTATTCGAATTATCGAATAATTGGGCATGACCAAATATTCGTATACTCGAATAACAGAATAAGTGCGTTTTTCTAAAAGGAGTTCGACTATTTGGATAAATAATCGATTTACTTGAATATTTCAGTCCAACATAAACACCCACTCTCAATCATACCCATTTCGCAGCTGTTTGAACAAACATTTGATGTTTTTGCAACATTCGAACGGGTAATATTCAAAACTTAGTTCTGAAACCATTCGAACTTGAGTATTCGAATGTCGATGTTTTAAAATATTCTACAACTATTCGAATAACCGATTACATGCATTTCCATTATTCGAGTTATTCGAAATGTTATAATTCATTCAAACATAAATATTCGGTCTGTGATTCCTATCCCCTTCCCTTTCCTCTTTTATTGCTTGACCGTTAGCCGTTTTTTGGATTTGGTTGCCTTATTTTGACATTTAATCGTGTATTCTGACATATAGGCACTGGAAGCGATTCCCAAGCTTCGCGAAACTATCCGTATCGAACGTGCAAAGATGCGTATTCGTATATCGATGCCATCACATGAAGCCAAACTTACACATAATCGTCTAAAAGCGCTATTCAGTGAGGTGGAAATGGAAGACTGGGCTGAAGGAGGACTGGAAATGGTAAGAAGTTTTGGTTTTTTGATTGTA